CTACGGTATTGTTACCAGTCTCCAGGACTTGCCTGGCCCCTCCCTGCCAGTTTCTCCACTACTACCCTTTTTCTCTATGGATTGGTCATTTGAGTGCTCAGGTTCCCCGAGATGGGGCCAGTGTGAGCCTCTCGCTGGCTCTTCATCTTTTTTACATGCCCCTATCATTTCCTCAATACTCCCTTTTTTTCTGGCACAATAAAATGTACCGGGCTTATCTTGTGTTCTGAGTCCAGCCCTAGGGTTATGCTTGCAACCAGGCTCCCCATTTCCTCTGTGTGGAGGAACTGTAGATACCAAGCCCTGGTGTGACTGAGCTGGGTGCTGCTGGGTGCTACTGCTTGCAGGCACTCAGCTGAGAGAACTGTGTCTGTATGAACATTCATGCATCCACACATGACTTTACACTAAAGCCTGTGGATTCATGCTAAGACCCCCATTCTAACCTAAGAGCACAGGAGGTCCTATGCTGATAACTGCCTTCTATAACACAACAGTAAAAAAGTGTTACATTTACTTGCTCCCTCCATTTGTCCATAGATAGCCCACCTCTCAGTCTCTTTCAACCCCACTGCTCACCCCAGAGCCAAGTGCACAGCTCTGGCCCAAGAGAAGTGAAAAGGGAAGTGTTAGTGGGTGCAACCCTGAGAGCATGCATGCTGAATCTATGTGGGGCTCCTGGGCCGTCTCCTCCCAGGGCTACTGCTACTTTGCTTTCCAGCCTGACTTACTGTTTCTGAATGCTAACTGCAGATCCACCAGCAAATATCATGCTAAGCCCAGCCTGCCATGAAGATTGTTTAGTCTCCGTTGTTTAATCCTTCCCTGCACTGATACCACTCTGTAATACTCTTTAGTCTTTATGCATTTTAACTTAACCAGCAGAACTCCAACAGTGTGTCATGTGAAGCCTGCAAATGCTCACACAGTACTTGGGGACAAAGTTCAAGCTGCAGAGAAGAGAGAGAAAGAAACCACATATCTGTGATGTTTCTCTCAGCTAGGGAGTCAGGAACAGCAGTATGGCATGTATCTGCATATTGCTCCATAGACCTGAGGTCAAAGCGTGGGAGAGTGAATGCCTGAAGTCAAGTCAGTGCCAATAAATCTATGACCTTAGGCAAAGACACTTCAAGTACCAACCTTGGTTTCTTCGCCTTTAAAACAGCAATAATAACATCTTCAATATAAAGCTTTGGGGAGGAATAAATGAGATTGTATTTATAACACATCTTATAAGCTAATAGGAGAAAAAGACCAAGAAGAAAAGAGCGGGGGAAAAGTGTGTTGTGCAGTGTTAAAGATACAAGGGGCTGGAGAGTTGTCTGAGCAGTTAAGAGCACTGGCTACACTCACATGGGAGCTTACAACACTGATAACTCCAATACCAGGAGGTCCAACACCCTCTTCTGGCCTACTCAGGTACTGCATGCACATGGTGCACAGACATACATGCAGGCACACACTCGTTCACATAAAATAAATAAAATCTCAAAAAAAAAGAATAAAGATCTGAAGGGATTGCAGTGAGAATTCAGAGGGGTGTTACTGCCACGTTCAAGGTGAGACTTTTTACTTTGCATCTCCACCCTCAACCAAGTTCTTCCTGTCCTTTACATCTCCCTCACATGTAGTCTGTACTCACCTCTCTTTGTTTATGGATCTCATGTAGCCCAGGCTGGCCTCACCTTGTTATGTAGCAGAGGATGGCTTCCCAATCCCTCTGGGTCTACCTCTCACCTCTGGCTGCATGTTTTTGTTCCCTCCCTGAAGCTGCTGCAGACTTTCTCTTGCTCTGACTTAGCATTCTTTCACTGTCTTGAAATGTGAATAATCTCAGCATTCAGAGATTCTCAACACTCCACGGCCTCCTGAGCAGGGCTTGACCATTTGTAAACTCTTACTTGATTGTACTTGCTTTGGGGTAAAAAAGGCTCCCTTGTGGTTCCAGTCCACAGATTGTTGTGCCACAAATGCCTTTTTCCATTAATTCTACATGAAGACCTTGCCAAAATGTCTGGAAGTAGTGATAGCCTTAAGTTAAATTTATTTGTATCTTGCACTTACAGCCCTTGAGCCTTGCACATGGTGAGTTGTGGTTGGCATTTAGCTGGACTGGCTCAGCCCTTCATAAGCAGTGAATGCACAGGTTCCCACTGGGGCATCTTCTATTCTTCCTCTGCAAAGCTCATTATCTCATGTCTTACAGGACATGGATACATGCTGGTGTGGAGTGGAAGAGAGCACAGGGAGGCTTCCTTAGCAGGTTTCTTTCTCATCTGCAATAGAGAACAATGTCAAAAGTAACTAGGTGGACAGTCTGCAGAATGTAATCTTTAGAGGTTTTGTGTGTGTGTGTGTACAATTTCTCCATGCTGTGTGAGCATGATTAATTACAATCTTACTCATCAGGCTAACTCTGAAGTAGGAAGTAGTAGGTGAGGATAGTTACAGTGCTGAGGATAGATGAGTGATCACAGTAAAGTTACTACAGAGCCCACCCCTGGCTCTGTTGGCACCGTCTGTGTGCAGATTAGACTCCCCAGCAGACTGAGTGCATTCTTTCCCTCCATTTCACCTCCTCCTCCACTGCCCCAGCCCCTGTCCAGGTCTGCTTCTGTACCACTTTATTCCCATCCCAAGGAACAAAATGGGGAGGGTGGTCAGCTAAGCATGCTTTGGGTACCGACATGCAGATTAACCTGGCACACCAGCCTGCACAGTGGGCTGAGGGAGCGTGAACAAACACCTGCCCGGCAAGGGAGAGCCAGTAGTGGACACAGGAGGAGACCTTCCTGCTGTAAAGCAGCAGCTGCCTCTCTACCAGGTGCTAGCTGGAGTGCTGTCCTCAGTACGATGGAATTACAGCATGGACCAGGGAACAGGCACTGCTGATTCACGCCCCCACTGTACACCAGGGTAAGAACAGCTTGACACATCACACACTCTGGTAACGTGTTAACTCAAGTGCCAAAACCACATGCATGCCATTCCAGCACCGGGGAGACTGAGGCAGGATGATCACAAGTTTAACCCTATCTGGAAAAAACATTAGTAAGAGCCAGGTGTATAGCACACACTATCAACCAGCACTCAGGAGGCTAATACAAAAGCAGAGTCATTAACTTCAAAGCCAGCCTGGGCTATAGAGTAGACCTCGTCTCAAAACAGATGGACAAGCCAAAAAAAAAAAAAAAAAAAAAAATCCCATGGCAGTGAGTGGCTGGTGCTGGCAATTCCAGTTGAGAGAGCAGGTATTCGTCTGAGTTGTGCAGTGAGACCTGGGCCTAGGAGACAAGCAGAAAGGTGTTTTGGTCCGGAGGTGACAGGTGAAGGCCCAGCAATGGGGACTGGCCTAGGTACCTGGCTGGAGCAGAGGCCTGCCATGCCGGAGAGTTGTGAAGGTCCATGGGAAAGTAGGGCAGGAAAAGTTTGTTCAGAGTGGGGGTGTGGCCAGACATTTTCCAAGGTCAACTAAAGAGGCCCTTCTCTCCATGGGCAGAGACCTAGCCTGGGTGAAGCAGCCACATCTGGATGTCATAAACTTTGAATAACAAAAGCACTGGAGTAAAATGTCAATTGTTTCCTATTCCTGCTAATCGGTGCTGTGTGTGGTTCTTGCCTTTTTCTTCTTATTGTATAAATATAGTTTTAAAACACAGCTGGATTCTTGTAGCCTTAGCCAGCAAGTTAAAAAGGTGCCACATGTCAAGAATGGGGCCTCCCACTGTCCACACAGCAGAGCTGTGCAGAGGACAGTGGTTATGGCCCTGCTAGAGTCCAGCCCCTGATGACTCCAGGTGACTGGGACAAATTGAGGGATGTCTGACTGGGAAAGTGGAGACAGATCACAGCCGCTGTCACCACCATGACCAGGCCTAGAACTGTTCCCAGTCACTCTCATCCCAAGATATTTTTGCATCTTTGATTCTGGAAGTTATAAGGAAAAAAAAAACTGTTCATCTTAAGGAAGGCATTTGGTCTTTAAACAACATCTCTCTATTCACAAACTAACTAAATTTATTAGAACTGATGAGGTTAGCAAGATTTTTCTCTATGTGATAAACATGTGAAGTATTAGCCTTTATACCAGTAATCATGTGTAGACTATGAAAGGAAATAATATTATATTAAAAAATAAATAAGTTCTATGAAACAGCTTGGTAAATGCTAAAGTTTCACATAGGAAGGACTCTTTCTCAAAAGATTAAAAACAAGCTCTGAGTTAGACCACGTTTTCCTCACTTGTGTTAATTTCTTTTCTTGCCATTGTGCCAAGGTATTTAGCAGAAACACCTTAGGAAGGAAGGACTTGCTTGGACTCAATGATTCCAGGGATTTCCAACCATCATGGCAGGCAATGTTTACACCTTCTCTGCCACCAGATCCTTCGTACAGGCTGGTGAAAAGCAGGTTTGGGTCCAGGCTGCTGGGGTTTGTGTCCTGGTTCCCTGGCTTGTCTTGGACAAGGTGCTTCACTTTTCTGTGCCTGACTTTTGGAGAAGGGGGTAGTAAAATAGGTACCTCCGAAGGTTATGTTGAAGACTTAAAGTTCCATGACATGATTATAAAGCACAGCCAGGACTCTGGGGCCGCCACAAGTGTTTAGGAAATGGTCCCCATCCTCAGTGTTTAGGACTGTGGTTTGTGGAAAGGGCAGCTGATGGTCAGGTTCTCCACTCAGCTCTGTCCTCAGGTTTGTGACCGAGTTTTAGGTGTCGGCTTTCCCACCTTCTAGAGGAGCAGCAGTGTGGTGTCTCTCACAGGGCCCTGGGTTTGAATGTGGTGATGAAATGCCTTGGAACAAAGCAGTGTACAAATGTCAGATTTTATTGCTGCCACCTTTTTAGCAGGGAGGTGAGTGGTGACATGGGTAAAATGCACCCACTTGTAAGTTTGGGTAGCACCAGGAATCAGCACTTGAGAGAATTACTTGTGTCCACTGCAGACAGCACCCTTGCCTGATCTCTCCAAGTGAAACAACATTTCTGCTTTTCTAGAAACCTCAGCGAGCTGATAGACCGATTTGTGACAGATTTCAAAGCCCAGGGCCCCCCGAAGCCTAACACTGACGAAGGGGGTTCTGTACTCCCCAGCTGCGCTGACCTCTTTGTCTACTACAAGAAGTGCATGGTGCAGTGCTCACAGCTCAGCACAGGCGAGCCCATGATCGCCCTGACTACCATCTTCCAGAAGTACCTCCGAGAATACGCCTGGAAGATCCTCTCTGGCAATCTGCCTAAGTGAGTCCTGTTCTCCTCACTCTCAGCAGGGAAGTGAGTGAGACTCTCAAAATCCCTAAATATGGAACTCTTTTTTTTTTCCCCCTGAGACAGAATTTCTCTGTGTAGCTTTGGAGCCTGCCCTGGAACTCACTCTGTAGACCAGGCTGGCCTCAAACTCACAGAGATCCTCCTGCCTCTGCCTCCCAAATGCTGGGATTAAAGGCGTGCACCACCACTGCCTGGCAATATGGGAGTCTTTAAAGAAAGCCACTCTGGGGTTGTTTACTGAGCTGCTAAGAATGTCGAGGAGGAAAACACTCCTTCTGGGCTCCCAAGGGCCTGACGCACTTTAATGACAATGCACAGCTGCCCATGACTGTCAGCAGGCATGGTCCCATCCACCAGTGTAGGTCACAGTGCATCAGTGGGTTGGGCCTGTTATACGTATGTACACAGTGCACATGGGCTCAACATAGGAAAAAAAGTTATTCAGTAGCAGAGGCAATGTTGCTCCAGCCTGTTCAGTGTGTTCATGCCTTGAGTGCCAGATAGACAAGATAATCCCCCCTGATTATCTTCCACAGCCTCTAGTGCTATGTGCACAGTCTTAAGATATGGGTGTACTGGGGCTGAGAAGAAGGCTGAGTGGATAAAGTGTCTCCTGCATAAGCGTGAGGACCTGAGTTCAGGTCCCCAGGACACACATTAAAAACTGAAATTGGCAACACTCACTTGTAATCATAAAACTAGGAGACAAGAGGACTCCAGGGCCTCAATGGCAGCCAGTCAGGCCAGCTCTGGCAAGCTCCAGGTTTACTGAGAGATCATATCTTAAAAACAAGGTACAGAATGATAGAGGAAGACACCTGATGTCAACCTTTGCTATCTGCCTGTGTGTGCATGGGCACACATGTGCATTGTTAGACTGTCTTTCTCCGCTTGTTCACTTATGAGTCCACATGTACTGTCTCAACTGGGAAGGATGGGTGGGAAAGCAGCTTTTGTGCTACAGATGACCCGTGAGTGAGAGCTGCACCTCGGGGAATCCCAAGCAAGGCACTAGGCTAACCAGCCTCCTTGGTGAGAATGGGATCATCCCAGGACTGCTCACTGGCTCTCTCTTGGCGTTGTCTCTTCCTGTTCCTGCGGGTAAGAGGGTCTAACAGATGACAGTCAAGGTAAGGTCTGGAGCAAAGGGACCCATTGTATGTTGATTTATTTGTGCTGTAGCCAGCCTTTCCTCCGCTTTCTTCTTTGTCATAAAATACATAGCTTCAGGAAGCCAATTAGCAGCTGCAGCCTGACTAGTTCCTGTTCTTTTCCTCAGAACCAGCAGCAGCAGCGGGGGGCTGACCATCAGCAGCCTCCTCAAAGAGAAGGAGGGCTCTGAAGTGGCCAGGTTCACTCTGGAGGAGCTGTGCCTCATCTGCAGCATCCTCAGCACAGCCGAGTACTGTCTGGCCACCACCCAGCAGGTGAGCCGCATCCTGCTGAGCATGCTGCCATCATGGGGTGCTCAGCTAGAGCTGGAGTGGAGCCCAAGAGCTAAGCTTCACTAAACTGACCTTGGGCAGGCCAGTTGACCTCACAGGAAGAAACTCACCGTGGAGTCAGAGATGCCCCAGCAGCCATCCTACAGCCTCCACCCTCAAGTTATGTAAGCTACCAACCAGGCAGGACCTCTGCAAAGTAGGCCAGTAGCACAGTGTCCCTCAGGAGAAAGGCAGTAATAAACGCCCTCTAGGTACCAGGCCCAGCCTTTGGTGGGTGAGTCACCCAGTGACTCCATTCTTAGCATGTTAATAAGCAAAGTCTTTCAAGATTTTATGCGTCTCCTAACATTTTCTGGCATTCTCTGTCCACCATAACAACCATTGTTTGAGATGTTGACCGTGAAGCAGAAGGGGAAGAAAGGCCTCTGCTGGAGCCCCCGAAGGCAGTTCAGCAACCTAGCTTTGCAGAGGAGGAGCCAGAGTAACTTGCCACTCAGCCCTCCATAGGGTTAGAGGCTCTTTTTCCCCATTTGGCCTGTGGTCCCCCTGAGGCTAGGAGCAAGAAAGTGACCTGGGAGAGCCCTGCTCTTCCTGATATGGATGCTTATTTCCTAAGCATCTAAGAAGTCAGTCACAAGGGGCAGTTCAGACATGACAGCTTGGACCCCCTGTGTGCCAGGGTGTAAACTCAGGAAGTGTCCAGCAGACTCCTTGAGGGTCATCAAGCTGGGCCCAAATGCCGAGACCAAGGCAGTAGCATGCTCTGCTTTGGGGCATGGTCACATATACATACTTGAAGGCCACTTTGGCCCTGGAGCTAGACACACACACACACACACACACACACACACACACACACACACACACACACCCCAGATCCCCTCATGAGGAACGTAGGTATTTAGAGTGAATGAGAAAGACAGGGTCTCAGTGTGTAGGCCAGACTGGTCCAGAACTCACACAGACCCATCTGGCTTTGCTTCTGAGTGCTGGGGTTAAAGGCATGTGCCACCATGCCAGACTTTTACAGAATCTTAAAAGTAGAGAGACCAAAGTAGCATTCGAACTAAACACTGCACTTAGAACTCCTTTCGGAACCTGGCCCACATGCTCAGCTGTGTCTCACTTTCTTCTTAAGCACTTTGCTTAAGAATAAATGTGGTAAAATCTCTTCATAAACACACACACACACACACACACACACACACACACACACACACACACACACACACAACCCAAACCTACTCCTAATGCCATCACCCTCAAATAATCACATTAGCAGCTTGAGTTATTTTATAAACAGTTTTGTATGCAGTTATCTTAGTTCACTTTTATATCCTTTTATTGTTAGTGTTAGTGTCTTAACATTCTCCTGTTACTAAATTATCTTTATTGTTATTACTTTTTATGACTATATAATATTCCATTAAAGGATTAGTGGATATTTAATAACAGCCCTGGTATTTATTTATACTGCTTTAAAGTTTTGCTTCTTTAAATAATCTTACAAAACCATCTTTCTGAATATAGTATCTGAAAAGTTTTATATTGTGTTTCTAGAACAGATTCTTAGGTATTTTAGAAGTATGAGTAAACCAGAGACCATTTTGATGACTTGTGCAGCCATTTTTTTAATTTAATGAAAATCATCTTACTGATTATAAAAAGTGTGTATTCTTAGCCACCTATGAGATGTCTGAATGCCATGTTCCTTTAGAAGAAGCAGAGATTCCTGGAGAAATGATTGATTCCAGGCTGAGGGGGTAGGGTGGCTAGGGATACAGTGCAGTTGGTCCAGGTCTTGCCCAGCATGCATGAAGCCCTGGGTTTCATCCATAACTCCCCATAAACTGGGGATGGCAGTGCACACTTGTACTGAAATCCCCACCTTTGAGAGGTGGAAGAGGAGACTCAGAAGTTCAGGGTCTCTCTGAGCTTCAAGAGAGCTTTACCAGACACTTCCTGTACCAGGCGCTGCCTCTGGTTATGGCACAGAGAGGACAGGCATCTTTCTGTCAGGAGACTCAGACTGATGGAAAACAGATAACAAGCAAACAAGCCAGGGGTTCATTACCATTTTGTGGTAAGTGTGGGGGAAGAAACAAATGCCAAGAGAGGAGTAGGAAGGGCAAGGAAGTGAGGGCCAGGTCAGGAGAGTGAGCAGGGGAAGTATGGAGTGTGAAGGTCCTCAGAGACAAAGACCCGAAACTGCAATGCTGGAGGCAAGGCTGAAATAGCAAGATGAAGCCAGAAAGGTAGACGGGACCCACGTCATGCTTACAGTGAAATAGCAGAGGCCACGGGAACATGTGCACACTGTCTCATCCTCCTCATCGGTGTCCATGTAGACTACCTCCAGGTTCCCGGTAATAAAACCCCCTTCCTACAGAACTTTACAGATACAGCATCTGACCCATTGAGTTCTCTGAATGGCTCCTCACCCCTTTAAACAGCCTGGCACAAAACAGGCTTCCAGAAGTAGTAGCAGAATTAAACGCTGCCTAGAATCCTTGCATAGCTCTGTACATTATTCTCATTATTTCATAAAAACACATTTCTAATTGTGAAATTGCCAGATTCAGTTTATATTGCCTTCTAAAAAGGTTACCCCCATTTATACTCCTTTAAGAACATTTTTGTTTTTAAGTTTTTTAGTATGTATGTGTATGTGCCTATGTGATTTATGTGCACCACATTCATGCAGTGCCCATGGAGGCCAGAAGAGGGTGATGGGTCCTCCGAAACTGGAGTTCCAGGTTGTGGTGAGCCACCATGTAGGTGCTGGGAACTGAAGCATCTCTCCAGTCCTCTAAGAGCACTTTACATTTTAATGCAGAGCATTCATCATCACCTTAGAGTGAGTGTGATTGATTTAGAAGTACAACAGTTATCGATTCCTAGGGCATTTTTAGGTCCTCCCAGATTCTGATCAATTGTATTTTTCTCTAAGGCTTGGGAGTATGTGAGTGTTCCTGCCCTAAGCCCTAAGCCCTAAACTGACCAGGTGAAGATGTATTTCTAATTCACCACTTGAGACATCTGGCACCTTGGCAAGGTAGTGGCCATAGACACACTGGCAACTGCTTCTGCTAACTTTGCTGTCACTCACATTAAAAGTTCTCAGCACTGGTGGGTGAGGCTACATTTCATGGGGCGTGCAGGGAGACCAGATGTGTTACTTTTCACAGGTACGACTAAAGGGAGGAGAGGTTCCTGCAGTCTGTCACAGTGGGGAGGAGGCCAGTGCTCCTAGCTGTGTCTGCATGAGCAGAGGCTCCTTGCATGCTAGTGGCCAAGAAGCAGGGCTTTCCTGTAACTTTCAGAAGCCCTCAGCCAGCTTCTGACGTCTCTGTCTCATAAAGGCCCCGCAGCCTTCAGAACAGCGCCACCACTAGGGACCAACCACTCAGAGCAGGAGCCTGTGAGGACAAACCACAGGAGCTGCTGATCCGTCATTAGCAGTAAGCCCAGTGTGGTGCCAGAGGGGCTGGGTTCTAGGCAGCTGATTTGGGCCCTACCACCTGCTGTCTTGGGTGGGCTACCGCAGTCCTCATCTATGACGTGAGGGTAATGGGACTTTCCTCATATCCGGTGAGAACCAAATGTGTCTCATGTCGTGTCTGGACCTGTCTGCCTCATCCCTTTTGAGCCTCAGTTAGTAGTATGGAACACCTTTGGGTAACCATTGGACATGCTTCTGCTTTATCCCTTTTCGAACAGCTGGAAGAAAAACTTAAAGAAAAAGTTGATGTCAGTCTGACTGAGCGAATTAATCTCACGGGAGAAATGGACACATTCAGCACGTACGTACCTTCCAGGCTCTTGCTCCAGGCCCACCTTTCCTCTTCACAGGCAGTGTGTGTTTTCGTCCCTACAGAACCTAGGCTTTCCCTGGGCTGTCTCCACCAGCCATGAGAAGCAGGGCCCTGTTCTCCCTCCTCTTCCTCCTTCTCATTCTGACTTAAACAAGTGTTTACTGCAGATGCTTTCAAGGAGAACTCAGAGAGACTCTCGGGTTAGCAATTATGGGAGCAGCCATGGAAGTTTGGCTCCTAACTGGATAAGACACACCCAAGTAAGAACATTACATGAAGAGCCAGCTCTTCCTCCATTGTCAGTGGTTAAAACCCAAGATTTCATAAAGAAATGACAAATTTAAATTCTGCACACATGCCGAAAACACCTGTGGGGGCCGTGTCCACCACCCTGTCACTTCTGGAGCAGTGACTGTGTCCACCACCCTGTCCCTCTCTGGAGCAGTGACTGTGTCCACCACCCTGTCACTTCTGGAGCAGTGACTGTGTCCACCACCCTGTCACTTCCAGAGCAGTGACTGTGTCCACCACCCTGTCCCTCTCCGGAGCAGTGACTGTGTCCACCACCCTGTCACTTCTGGAGCAGTGACTGTGTCCACCACCCTGTCCCTCTCTGGAGCAGTGACTGTGTCCACCACCCTGTCACTTCTGGAGCAGTGACTGTGTCTACCACCCTGTCACTTCTGGAGCAGTGACACAGTTTGTTTCTTTACAGTGTCATCTCCAGCAGCATCCAGCTGCTGGTTCAGGATCTGGATGCAGCCTGTGATCCTGCCCTGATTGCCATGAGCAAGGTAAGGTGTTAGGAGCTGGCCTCCTACCAGAGTGACCCACGTGCCTTCCCTCATGTGTTCAGACTCTGCTTAGTGTCAGCTGAGGGGACTGGGGAGACCCCCCAGAGTTCCTGCTAGGCTCGCTTCACCTGGCTGTTGCTGGCCCTTTTGCCAGGTGGGGATTGGGGTGAGTCTGCAGGAGATGGATTCTTGGGTCAGCATCTAGCTCCTGCTGAAACCTGTCTGTTCTTGCTGGATGAGCAGTTTGGTGAGCTCTACACCAGTGACTCCCGACTCTGCTCAGAACTGAGAGGTGCCAGTTCTTCCTGAGCTTTGGTGATTAGGTAATTTGATCACATAGTGGACTCTGGTTCTAATGTACTCTAACCCCCGTGGCCCCTTTGGCACTCACCATGTGCTGCTATTTGGGGCTTTATGTGCCTGTCTTTTCTTCCCCAAGGAGTGTAAATTCCTGAGGAATGTGGTGACTCTTGCATATAATCTCAGGATTTAGAAGGCTGAGGCAAGAGGATTTCAAGTTCAAGGCCTGCCTGCACTACACAGGAAGACCCTGTTTCAAAAAAGAACAAGAGTATTCCTTACATCTCTAGACCATATTGAAGACTTCATGTTTATTGATTAAGTAGAAAGTAGGCAATTCTTTGTTGATTTTTAAGCCCAACAAGCCTCTTGTAGAGCAAGGGATAACAAACAGTAGCCTGCAGCCAACTGTGGCCCACCACTTGTTCCTGTAAGTCTTAGTGCAACATGGCCTTGCTCATTCACTTATGCACCATCTATGGCTGGTCTGGGCTGAAACTGTAAAAATTAGTGGTTATAACAGAGACCTTATAGCACACAAAGCAAAACCATTGACTAGCTGACCCTGTCCAGAAAAAGCTTGCCAACACCTATCTCGTCATGGAGTCTTGGAAGACTCACTTGTCTGGGGGAAACAAGGCAGAATTTATGACAGAGGGCAGTGGGAGGAACCTGGACCCTGGGATCAGACAGACCTACATTTTCTACTTTTCCTTTTGAGAGCACTGCACAGATGACTAAATCTGTGCAGACCCATCTCCTCTATGTGAAATGCATTTGTCTGGCCGCCTCCCAGAGCTGTGAGAGTGGACAGCAGTGAGTGCCTGGTGGTGCCAGTCAAGTGCTCAGAGAGCCTTGGTTCCTCCCTCTTGACAAGAGGAATGCCATGCCCAGGAAGCACACATTTGATTTTATAGTAGATTATAACTATTTAACAAAAATAGGATTAAAACCAAAATTTTGACTTTGGGGTTTTAAGGAGTGAAGTAGAAAGTTGAGAAGTAGCTGATGTTCCAGAGCTCCTGTTCTCAAGGCCAACCCTGTGCCCAGCCGGGATCCCCAGCCACACACTGTAAGCAGACAGCTGGAGGCTAGTCTGTTCTCTTAAAAAAGGGGGCTGTGAGGATTCGTTTCCTGGGCTCCGGCTAGTCCCTCACTGCTGGCAAACATTCTGCGCATCCTGAGTTTGATCCATTCCAGCTGCCATCTCCTGAACCGCCACACACCGCAGCCCGGAACGCAGCTGCCAAAAGATTTTCACACTGACCAAAGGAAGAGTGGGATCTCTTTTTTTCTCAGTAAAATAACACATGGAATGGGTTTAACACTCCAGGTGTTGCTTATATGAACTGTCAGTTCATTAGGCAGACTTCCCTCAAGTTCCCCTTCCTCACCATCCACTTCTCCCCAGATGCACACCATCAAATATCAACCACACCTCCAGAGTCTTGTGTTTATATCACAGGAAAACCATAGGTTTGGGAGCATAGCAGTTGGAAGGCCATTCCTTTTTGTCTGAGTCTTCTGGAGTTCTAGCAAAATGAGATCCATGTGACTAAAGTAACCATGGCAGTGGTCACGGACTGACTCCGCATGTGCCCCTGTTAGTGTCTGCATCCTGTTTCGTGGGGTTTCTTCAAACCTCTGTGATGGTGATTATGTCTGTCTCTGGTTCCGTCCCTGCTGCTGGTTGACTAGTCCAGCACAAGGCTGGGAAAGGCATAGGCATTGTCTGCGGTGCTGCATCCCGTAGGTGGAGGCAGGAGATGGGAGCGGAATGCAGAGAACTGGTGGGAGTGAGAGGAAGTTGGGACCATAGGAGAAAAGCAGAATCCAACAGTCAGCATGTGAGAAGCCAACAGGGGTAGGACATGGTCCAGTTTTCTTGAAGGAATTTGTGATGGGGAGGCTGTTTCAAACAGGACTGCAGTGGAAACCAAAGATTTTTAAGCTAGCAAAGTCATTTTTGTTAAAATTAACAATCTCATTCACTTAGGAAGTTACAGAGTATTCTGGACTCAGGCAAGGCTGTCTTCAAGTTTATGCTGTGCTGGGAGAAAACTCAAAATAACCAGTAGACTAAATAGATGTATTTCATAAATAGTGAGGACCGTGTGGAGTGGGCTTCCAGTGTAGCAGAGCTGGGGGCTGATTCTGAGGTAGGAAGGAGGCTCCGTGACAAGGTGGATAGAGCCCAGCAACTTGTCACATTGTTGTCCTGGGAGGCCAAGGCAAGCTCTGGGTCCTCCTCAGTTGCCATATAAGGCTTAATAATTAATAAATAAGTTGCCATATTTCCTGTCAATACCTTGGATCCCTTGTCTGTGCAGTTTGTACTGCTCCTGTGAAAACACCTTGCACCCCAGGTCCGAGCCAGTCCCACTGACCTGAGTGTGTTCTGCCTTCTGGTGGTTTCCATGCCCTCCCTCACTCTGACCTTTCTGCTTAGAATTCTCTTCTCATCGTGGTCTATTCCAAAAAGTGTACCCCTTTTAAGAGCGAGCTTGAATATCTGTCCCCCTTTTAAAAGTTAAGGTATAATAATTCCTGTCTTAGTTAGGGTTTCTATTGCTGTGACCAAACACCATGACCACACGCAACTTGGGGAAGAAAGGGCTTACAACTCTCAGGAACTCAAGGCAGGAACCTGGAGTCGGGTTGACAAAAAAACTAACCAGAACAAATCCCAGAGCACAGTTCACCCCTTAAAGTGTCCAAGTTAATAGAATGTAGTACACATATGAGGCCATAATGCCATCAGGACTATCTCAATCCAGAGTGCCCTTATCACCTTAGAAAGAAGCTCATACCTCTCAGCCCTGCCCACATCCCCCACCCTTTCCCTGACAGCCATGAGTCTCCTTCCTGTCTGTATAGATTACTGTCTGGACACTTTACACGTGGTTGTGGGTAGCTTTTCCTGCGGGCCTTCCTTCACTTCACAGTGTTCAAGAGTCTTTCATGGGGTGCCATGTGTCAGTACTGCACATTTCTGGTTTTGCTGTGTTTTTGTGAGTTTTGTTTGTTTGTTTGCTTTTTTCAAACAGGGTCTTGCAGTGTAGCCCTGGCTGGCCTAGAACTTACTATGTAGACCAGGCTGCCCTCAAACTCATAAGAGATCCACCTGCTCTGTCTCCATGGTACTAAGATTAAAGATGTGCACCTCTACACATGGACATACTCCATTTTAAAAATAATGCTAGGGGTTGAAACCAAGACCTTGCAGATGCCAAGCATGTGCTGTACTATTGAACTACCCATGCAGCCTCTAGTCCATTCCTTTTAATGGCTGAGTGATATTCCGTTATTTCCTTGTTAGCGTTATTTTCAGCTAGTGTGAGCAATGGTGTGAACATCTGTGTGAGTGCATTTCTCAGTTCTCTTCAGTGCACGCCTAGGAGAGGAACTGCTGAATCTCCAGGTAACTTCCATGTTGCTCTTCCAGGCACTACTGCGTGACTTTCCGTATCTGCCAGTTTGATGCTCCTACTAGCACAGTGTAAGCTCCTGATCTTTCCATTCCCACCAGTACTTACTCTGCATTTATGAAAATCCTGGCCATCTTTGTAGGTATGAAGAAGTATCTCCTGTGGCCTCACTGCATTGCCCTGGTGACTGAGATAAAGTGGCAGTGGGCATCTTTTGGGGTGCTTGTTGACAATCTGAGTGTTCTCTTTAAAGAAATGGTGGCTGGACTGTCACGGTTGTAAACTTGGGGTTCTTTCTATTACTGTGTTGTAGAAGGTCATCATCATCGCTTCCTCCTCTTTTTTTTTTTTAAAAGATTTGTTTATTTATTATGTATACAGTGTTCTGTCTGCATGTATGCCTGCAGGCCAGAAGAGGGCATCAGATCTCATTACAGATGGTTGTGAGCCAACATGTGATTGCTGGGAATTGAACTCAGGACCTCTGGAAGAGCTGCCAGTGCTCTTAACCACTGAGCCATCTCACCAGCCCATCCTCTTTCTTTTTTGATGTTTTGCTTTTGGTTTTCTTTTCTGTTTGTTTGTTTTTGTTGTTGTTGTTTTGGTTTCTCTGTGTAGCTTTGTGTCTTTCCTGGAACTCACTCTGTAGACCAGGCTGGCCTCAAACTCAGAGATCCGCCTGCCTCTGCCTCCCGTGCTGGGATTCAAGGTGTGCACCACCACCAATCGGCAGCTTTGTTTTGTTTTTGAGACAAAGTCTTGCTCTGTAGTTTAAGCTGGTCTCAACCTCTCTATCCCGCTGCCTCAATCTCCCATGTGATGAAAGTTCCTTTTAGAGCCTGTAGCTGTGCTCACTCCCATTCTAGGAACTGACTTTTCATTCCTTAAATCGCTGGTCTAATCTGTCACCTTTGTTCTTATTCTTGTGCTCTTGGTGTCATAACGAGGATAGATTGCCTAATGGCAAATCAAATACTTTCATCCCAGCACACGGGAAGCAGAGCCAGGTGGATCTCTGAATCTGAGGCCAGCCTGGTCTACAGAGCAAGATCCAGGACAGCCAGGGCTACACAGAGAAGCCCTGTCTCAGAGAGAGAGGGGGGGGGGGGGGGGGGAGACGGTGGGAGTGGGAAGAAGCGGGCCCACAGATGCATGGGTTTGCAAACTCATTAAGCCTGTCCTTGAGCCATTGCTGCCCCTGCTGGGCTCTGAGCACGGTGAAGTGGTCTGTGCAGTCAGTTGCTGCAGGCCCTGCAGCTTTGTTCTTTCTGG